AATTAATATAAGTACTGTCCGTTCACACAGTAATCAACAATATAGATCAAGGGGGTGATCGCTACAATCCTCCTAAATCGCAGGGTAATAGGAAATGCAACTGGACACTGGAGGGTGTCCAGAGGCAACTTAGCAATGAAATAACTGGATCAGCCCGAGTGTCCAAGCGCACCGGTCCCCGAGTTAATTTAGCTTGAACGATGGTGAGAGTCTTCACGCGTCCCGCGTGGCCGTAGTCAGGTCCTTGGTGCTGGCGACCTGTGACTCCTTTAGGTAGTCTTCCGCAGGCCTTCTTCGACGAGGTATCCCTTGTAGCACGGTTTGTGCAAACCACTTGCGCACTAGGTAGCAAAACAAACTCTGTTAAAGCGTTTAACTATCAATCATCTTCATCTTGGCATGGTCTTCATGTTCTTCAGATTCTTGTAGTATCTTGGTCTTTCTGGGTTCGATTTCTTCGGACTCCTTCGCCTCGCGACTGCACGCCGCCTGGATGACTTGGTCTGGATGACTTGACTTGGTCTTTTTATGCTTGGATTGTCGCATCATCGACCACACATCAAGTGTTGACACATGTCCCCCCTTGGATTGGCAGCATACGCCGACTCTTCGCACGGGTCTCATCTCCTCCTCAGTATGGTCTTCAGGTAGTTCGACGTCGGTGCAACTCGATCCTTGCCTGCACTGGCGTATAGTGCGTCTTGTACCTTGGGCCACCACGTCATCAGTCGATTTGTCTAGTGTATCATTCGCGTTGTATTTTCATTCGAGTTGTTCGTGATGTCTCCATTCGGGACACACTCCCGCAATTCAGGATGTCCAGCGGCCAGGGACCCCGGGGCTCTCCGTGTCCTTTCGTAAGTCCCTCAATCTCTACAGGTCCATCCGAAAGTATCTGTCATCGTTTTGGGTTCCTCTACGCTTCACCTTCCTGGAATAACGGTGTACGGTCACTCGGTTCGGGTGACCGGGGCTGGGATTTACATTCACGGAGCATTTCTCCGTTCACCACCCAAAATATGTTGTCACGTATCGGTTCCATATTCCCAGCACCGGCTCTCAAACCAGGGCAGCTGCGGATCCTACCTGAATTTCAGGTTGCATCGTCACAATGGGACGTCATGTTTGAAGATCGTTCCAATTTCTGGTTCTTCATTTGCGTGACAACCTAGATGCCGTTTCTCGTGAAGCTTTGGATGCCATAGTTGCGTTCATGTCCGTACACCGACGCACGATATGGTGGTTCGGAAACTGGATGTTCATTGATCTAGAGACTGAAGACCCTTACTCTGTGGATCTGCGAGCGCAAGGCTGAATGGGATAAGGCCAAGAAGGAGTACAAGAAGCTCCTGGATGATCGCGTCAACGCCGGTCTCGCGGATATGATTCTAGATGAACCTGGCTCCTGGATCATCCCTTCAAAGTGCTGTCATTGGATTTTGATGCGTGAGTCGCACGTCAAGGACGATGGTACTCGTTACACTCTGAATAAGCAGATGGAACTCTTGGATGATCAAGAGCCGGCACGCGTCGAGTGGAACACTTGTGCGTCGGATGGGGATCGAATCAAGCATCTGCCGGAGGACTACTCATTGAAGCTCTTGAAGGATTTGCAGCGCCAGTCGCAGAAGAACCGTATCACTCTGGAATTTGATTAATCGGCTCCTTCTGAACAGTTTTGCATATTGCATGTCAAAGCTTAGCGTTAACACCCATAATCCAATCATCATTCATATCCTCAATGTTCAATGTCTTCATTGTCAATCGACAGTAGAGATCGACGTCGAAGATGATGACGATCTAGATGCAACATTGCTACCCGAGTATAGTTGGGAGCCGGGTAGCTCAAATGACGTGTTTGAAGTGGAGTCTATTCAGGATGTACGCTGGGTAAAGCGTACTCAAACTGCAAGACATTCTCGGGAATATCTCGTCAAGTGGAGACCCAGAATGGATTCCGGTGGCACAGCTCAATTGCGGATCATTGTTATAAGAAGCGCGAGCACGAGCTCGTTTTCATGCGATGCAGGCTGGAGATGACCACCCGAGTGTGTAGTCAACCCGGATGATATTGTTCGAATGGCTCTAGACGGTGGATTATGTAAACTGATTATAACTGTTTTTGATTCGTGAATACTGTGGAGACACTCAGGATGCTGAACGTGGAAATTACCTAACGACCAAAAGTGTTGAATGTGTGATGATGAAGTGTGAATTGGAGATGATGAATACGAGAGTGGTGTGAAGATTGCTGGTTACAATGTCTCTTCGGGAAGATCACCCTCGGCTTGAGCCGGCTAATGTGTACCCAAGGGTTAACACAATAACCTGTGTCCTTCACACGCGAAACTCATCCCGAATTTCCTCAATCCTGAGGGGCCCATGCCACATATGTGCCAACTTCCGACTCAATCCAGTCTGGACCTTCGGGATGTACAACCATACAGAGTCACCCTTCTCAAAACCGGCCTTGGCCCTCTCCGAGAGTTCTATTCACTTTCGGGTTTGTACATCCGAGCGCATCCTCTTAGCTTTCTTTTGGAGAAACTCAGCACAAGCAAGTGCGTAGTCATACTCACGCTGCAATTTCCGTCGCCACTCATATGCGCTGCGTTCGAGAATGCTCGAAGGTTTCGAAGCTCTTAGCTCCCTAGGTATGACCTGCTTCCACGTCAGGTTTCCACGAGTCGCGGTCGGCTTCAATCACTGAAGTTCAGTGGGTCCAACATCGCTGAGACGGTGCTTCGGGCGTCCCAGCCATGAACCAAATAGATCGGAGTATCCAATCGAAAGAGACATTCAGGGCAAACATCATTCGCTCGGCGTGATCATCCCAGTCGGACTGATCCTTCTCGGCGACATATGCTTGAACACTCCGAATGACTGTTTGCACAGACCTCTCCTGCTGTCCATTTGGTTGTGGGCGGTATACGAGTGTAGCACACTGCCAGCTACCTAAAAGTTCTCGAAACCTTGTGCACACTTCGCTCATGAATCGCGGATCTTGATCATGCCGTATCATGGATGACGCTCCGAATCTCTGGAACACTTGCTCCTCATAGACTTCAGCGACATCTTGAGGTGTTGAAGAAGACATGGGTTTACGCAAGAGGAAAGTATTTCCTCGGGCTGACTCGGGTATGTGGGTCACGAAGTTCATAGAAACCGCCTCGAATGGGCATCTTGGTTCAATATTCCCTGGGGATGGTCCAGCATTCGGGGGGAGCTCCCTTTCCCACTAGCACAGTCTACACACTCTTTCACCCCGTTGAACTTCAGCGTACATGTACATACCAGACCAGTAGAATTTGATGCGTAGCTTCGCATGAGTCCGGGTGATATCTTGGTGTCCACCTTGAAAGTCTTCATGCACGTAGTACAACATGTCCTCCCGGAGTAAACTCGGGACTACCAATCTCAGGTTATCTACGGCGTCTCGTGGCCTCCCTCGAACAAAATGCGGGAGTCTATACAATATTCCTCAGCCATCCAGGACGAACAAGTCTCGGACCTTGCTGATCTTCCTCAGACGCGTACGTGAGAATCTGTCGAAGATGTCCTTCAGGAATGCTCTCATCACCCTCCTGGTGAACTCTGATCCGTCTCCAGCGATCTGTCTGGAATTCTAGTGGTTCCATTGGTAGAGTCTCGTCATCGTCAGCTTCTTGAACTCGCGATCTCGTGAGTACTGCCTTGACTCGGGCAGCTAAAGAGATAAGTGCACACTCAGGGCCAGAATCATGTCTTGCTCCCCATTTACCATTTTCTTTGCTTGGGTCATGTATGGGATCTCCACTGCCAGCCTGAGTACCAATGACTTCCGACAGCTTTACTAGCTGCTCACGAATCTTAGGTACCACCTTCAGATGTCGTTTCTCGAGGTTATCCTGAACTATCCTAGATTTACTTTGGGTGAGCGTCTTTAAGGTCCGGTAATCCGCGGCCTAATTGAACTCTCGCTTCATATGTACCAATCTGACTGACTGGAAACGCTTCTTCAGGCATCATATTCAGCTAACCTCCTTTGGAGATTAGGCTGGTTGCAATTAATCAGGCATTGAGCTTGTTGAACCACAATTCTCGGGTCATCCACAACGACTAGATCTTGAATTCCTGTTTCCAAAGCCATTGCAAGGCCTCTGAGCAGTCCAAAGAACTCTGATTTGTTTACGGTGACTTCATCTAGGATGTATCTTCGAGCATCCAAAATTTTCCATTCAGGTAGCTGCCACATATTACATCTGCAGCTCCTCTTCCTCGTGGAAATTTTGACCGCACCATCGGAACTCAGGACCACTCTAGAGTACTCTTCTGAGAGCATTTCAATACTCACGATCGGAGGCGGTTTGACGCACCCCTTGGCTGGAATGAATGCTTCAGGGACCTCGTCCAAGTACTCCCTGGGTGTATGCCTGCGCCCATAATGGCGGCTAGCCCATCCTCATCTTCGACAAACCTTCCGAATTTCCAGGTCATATTGTGACAGAGCAACGCATTATGGCACTAGACGACCTTCAGTTGTCTTGAAATTGATGACCCACTTCAACACTGAATGTCGGGTGTAGATTATCAAAGGACATCCTTCGACCAGGTTCTTGAACACATGGAGCGCCCGCATCACAGCGAGAACTTCCTTCTCAGCGATATGGTATTTGAACTCGGCGCCATTCAAGACACGCCCCGCGAATCGAACAGGTTGAACAAGTCCGTCATGTATCTGTCCGAGGACTGCACAAGAAGCCCACTGATTCGCATGAGGAATGATCATGAAAGGTATCGTTCGATCCGGATGTCTAAGCAGCGGAGTCGACACAATCTTCCTTTTCAGGATCTCCGAAGACTCCTTCGCTCGAATCAGATCTCGCCCTGCGTGCACTTGATCTACCGTCAACTTGTAGAGTGACGCAGCTACCATGACATAGGCTTCGATGAACTTGTGGTAGTAATTCAGACTGCCTAGGAATGATTGGACTCCATTCAGGGTTGACGGGAACGGTAGTTCCTGAATGCCTTTCACGATTTTGGGGTAGCACGTATCCCTTCAGAACCGATCTCGTGAGAGAGGTATGGTCTGATACGTTTCCCGAATTCGCTCTTAGGCAAACGGACCGAGTTCCTCTAGTACCGTCACCGATAGAGTAGTGCATCCAGGTCGTCACATAGTTGACCCCATGGGGCTGCCCCATGAGCGATGTCGTCAATGTACGAGCTCCGCCCCAAGCCTGGCCCCATTTGGGATGGCGCTGGGATGTTGTGCCTGAAAAGCATCATTTGTTCCGCCAGCGGTGTCATACTGCGTTCCGCGTCCATTTCGTCACCTGGCGCCTAAGGGTCTAAACTCAGGTAATATAGCACGTCGTGATCCACGAGTGTTTTCTCTTCGAGTGACAGCCGCACAAATCCCCACCGACAATTGTTGATCATCTGTTGGTAAACCAGCGGGGCATTTTTCAGCCCGAATGGCATACGTACCCATTGGAAACGCCCGAATGGACAAGTGAACGCTGAGATCAGCTTAGCCCTCTCGGTTATTCGGACGCCCAGAAGCCACTCGCCATACCGAGGCTCCTAAACCACATCATTCATTCGAAACCAGTGATAAGATCATCGATCAGTGACAGCGGGTAGTTCGACAACTAAATGAAGCTATTCACAACACGATAGTCGATGCACATTCGAATATCCACTCCGTTTTTCTTGAGTACAATCACAATTCGGGACGCCCATGGCGATTCGGAGTGTTCAATCAACGTAGCTTCCAGAAGCTTCTTCAGTAACTTGTACACATTGATTGTCAGGTGCGGGCCGATCGTTGCGCTACCGGCTTGGCATCGCCCACGTCTAAATCGCAGATGACACCTCTCACGGGTGGCGGAGCAGCATTCCCATCACCTAAGAAGATCTTCCGATGCTTCTTGAGGACGACATTCAGCTGATTCTGTTGAGTCTCTGTACTCTCGCCAGGTTATCCAACATCAGCGGTCTCAATATCGCATTCAGGAGAGATATCATCCAGGTCAGGTAGCATAACCGACTGATCATTTAACTGAGACATAAACTTACTCCCTTCGCGAATATACACCGCCGGTTCCAAATCGAGTTCTTCAGCACTCACTCGCATACACCTGGCGTATGCCGCATCAAGTCGTGCGAATGGTGTCCCAGGCATGGCCGAAGAAGGTAACCCGAAATCCTTGCCTTCCACGTCTTTCATACTTAGGTCATCCTGAAATACATCGCATTCCGAATATCGAGCCATTTCGTCGAGGCCGTTGTCACAAGATTCCAGAATGACAACGTTTCCACGCCCCTGGGCATCGGCATTCAGGGTGACAACTTCGTGTGAAGCTTCAACAGCCATGAGTGGACCGATCACACTTGGGGGATAAGTCCTAAGTGTGTTATCCTTAGCTAATCCTGTGGCGTCAATACTTTCTCGCGGTTGGAATTCTTCCACAATCTTCGTGACTTGAGCTCGTTCAGCTTTTTCGGCCTCACCAGCAATTTCGTTGGCCACTTGTATTGAGGTGTCACAACCGCAGGCGGGGCGACATCCCGGAGCCTCTGTTCATACGCCTCCTGGCGCATTCTCGCCTTCGCCGATAAGGTGTTTTCCTGAATAATCTGTTGCCGTTTCATGTACCTTCGTAATCCTGGACGCACGAACCGTTCAACTATGGGATATGTCCTTATTCTGCAATTCGATCAAAAGGTGTCCTAGACTCGATCCAACAATCTCGGTCCGTAACATTGACCATCTTTATTGCTACTGCCCACGATCGTACGCCGTAGACAATTTGAGTGACCCATTGATCCCCTCGTCCTGTCCACACAACATCTTGGAACGGACGGCACTGTCCATATCGGATAGTCACATTTGCATGTTATCCGGGTCGCAAATGCAATCCTCGAAGTGGGCAGACTGGTATATGCCGGTATTCACGCTTTCGTATGGTATATCCGTACATCAGAACGGATTCCTCATCTGGGAGACCCACCATTCCTTCACGAATACCTAGACGTACTCCAGCGCTGAACATGAAATCTTCACGAGCTTCAACATCAAAATTTCGCAGTACCGCACATTTAGCATCCTGGACTTCGAGGACACGACGATCACTGGTTTGACTCCGGGTTCGAAGGCTGGTGACAACATGGCCAAGAGCATAGACGGCTTTGACTTGAGCCGCAACCTCCGTTTGACGATCTCGGGTCGAACTTTGTGCAACCAAGACGACTGCATCGCCATGCAATCCAGCAACGACACCACATTCATGGGCAATACGTGCAGCGGTGGTCACGGAATCTCGATCGGATCACTTGGTGGTGATTCTGTTACGCAGTCAGATATCGTGAGCGGCCTGACCGTCAAGAACAACTAGATCATCGACAGTGTCAACGGGGGTCGAGGCGATTGTCGAGTACAAAATGGCCGATCTCGGTGGAAAGTATTTTTTATGAACAAAACAGTGGAATTCGGAATAATTCTAAGTTCGTTCGGCATGTTGACCAAGTAATCCGCTCTACGCCCGTCCCGTACGTACTCTACGCCCGTACTTGGTGATATATCGACTCTCGTTGACTCAAAACTTATGCAGCGTTACCACCTACTCAGACGCCCCAAGCAGTATGTGCGATCTCCCGCCCAATTCCGTACCTGCGCAACTCTCCAAGGTGTACCAGTTCACTTACACAATCTATCTAGCCAAACATGACGACAACGTCGCCCTCTACGTCACTGAAACAGTCGGCCACGGTACGAGCGCGTATCAGTGCACGAAACCGAAGAGAATGCAGTTATCGCAATGCAGCTGAATGATGCGTACAGCTACGTACATGTTCTAACAACGGCACTCGTGGAAATTCAAAGGTGTATTGCTGTTGTTGAACACAGAGCCGCCTTCGTTACTTTCGTGTCATTTGGTTCGTGTCAGATCTTACGGGTGAGAAGGAGTACGCTATCGAGAAGCGTGGAGAACATGGAGAAATGGCTTCCAATAGAAACCGGTCTGGAATTCATCCTGCATTCAAGGTCGAGGTGGATGCTGCGCTAGTCGCAGGATGTGGGCCTCTAAAGTGCTAGGGATGCTACGCAAGAAGTACGAAGGTCAGCCACTCATGACGGATAACTTACCCTGCTAAAAAGCAGAAAATCTACTTTGATGAAGAGCTTAGCAAGACAAACGCACGTGGAGAGTTTTGCAGGTCTATACGAATGGGCCAGTATTCGGAACTGTACCACTGAAGATAAATTCTTTGGGCCTGGTGGATTCACCCGAGACACGGACAAGAAGAATTTTGGGAACTAGGCCCTTGGTTTTCAGATTGGAACAATCGTGCTTAGAGGATTTCGTCATTTTTTAGACAAAGATGGCAAACAGGAGGAATCGTTTGGACTTATCATGATATCTCGCCGTATTTTTCGGATTGTTATGTACTCAATTGAAGGTCAAGAAGAAGACGGTATTCTCGCAGCTGCCGACGGAACTTAAAAGTTACATTACGGTGGGTGGGTGCTGGTTGCATTGGGTACGTACCGATCTCATTTCCATTATGGTAGGTATCGCAAGAGGTTTTTGCCGTGGGCGTACATGTTTGTGAGGACGAAGCTCGAGTATGCATATGAACAACTCTTTCGTATGGTTGTCAACTATGCGCAATTGTTCTTTAAACTTCAGCTTAATGGGAGTTTGGATCACGCGGCACGTATCACGAACGCGTTCAAGAATGTGTGCGTTGCTCGACTACTACCCTCACGTCTCCCGAAAATGCCGCGAAAAGATCACCCTATTGCAACCAAATGAGCATGCAAAGCTGTACCACAACACAAACATCAAGATCAACATTACGCAATTGCACAAGATTAGGTCACCGGAAAAGTTCGAAGTAGGGTCGAAAATGTGTGTAGCATTTTGGCGGGCCGAAGGTAAAAATGCGTACGCAGATTGGTTTTCAAAGGTTTATTTGGATGACGACTGGAGTTGCTGGTACGCTACGTGCGGGATTCCCGGGATTTTTACCATCCCAAAATCCTTTGGAATCCCACAACCGTGTCATTAAGACGTATGGAGTTACATCAAAACGCGCTACGATGGGTATGGTGTTAAACGATTCGATACCTGGTATTTTGGTCTCATTTGCAATGATCCTGCGACCTCACCCGTTGGACAATATTGGGAGTGTCCAATTCCAAGTGCCATCATTCATCGCGCTGCTGAACACAACAAACCAGTATGTTTTTACAAAAGCGTGTAGGATTGAACCATAAAAGACCTGTAAGTTTGTATTACTTCAATGCGAAGATTTACATGGCATTTGGAAGTGGTTCTGGAGTCGAAGTTACGAAAGATCGTGTGGTTATGTACATTGCGGTAAAGCAGGGCAAACTCCCTGCTACAGGCACTGTAAACGAGATCAACTTGCACTATTTTTCCATGCATGAAGTTGAGATCATCAATATCGAGCAAGCTCAAAAGTTCTCCATGAAGCTAGAGCCAGTCATCACCACGAACATCGTCGGGCAGATTCGCTCCATGTACCGCTGTGATTGTAAGCGCTTCTGGTCAAACGGATGTATCTACTCCCATATCGTTGCTGTGGTGGGCACCATGAAGCAATTCGACTTGGATGTTGCAAAAGAAACGATCCCCACAACAAAACTCAGCGGCGGTCAGCGAAAAATTCCAGGAGCTTTTTACGGCGACAATCCCAACAGTCGTACGTTTTTTGTTCCGAAATTGGTTAAGCGAATGCTGAAACAACCACATTATCATCATGGTTGGAAGGTGGCAAGGGACTTTTCTACAGAGGTTAATGGGGAAACGTGGACCTCAGTGTGGTGGGGAGAATCTCACACTTAGTAACCTTGTAGCCTGTCCGTCTGTCCGTCTGTCA